AGTTCAAGCAGCTTTAGTGCACAGGCATTAAAAATGAAACTCTCATTGCCTTAAAATACAACAAAACAACCTGAGAGGCACGTGCTACCTCGAAGAACGTTTGGAAACAACCACAGTGTTATTGCTTTTAAACATAGTTATTTCTGAAGACCATGAATGCTGCCCAGTTCTGCCACACAGCATAAGGGTTACCAGACATGGAATATGTTATTTAAGCCTCCAGGCATGTGGGAAAAGATCTGTACAGGTTGATCTGCTCCAGGGGGGAATAAAACAGGGGGATGAGGGTTAAGAACATTTGCACTCCAAGGCCAGTAAGCCAGAAAAGATGAAAAGTAATAAATACCAGACTGGCTCTAGAACACGAATGGCTCAAAGGGCAAACAGTTTGTAGGAGTAAATTGATACATCTTGTGTCTTTTTAATTGCAAAAGGGAACAGTCTGTCAGGGGTCACATATAATAACCAAGCAGAACAATATTCCCTACTTTCTCACTAGAAGGACTCCCTGTATACCATGACCTGGGAAAACTGTGTCCAAAATATGCCCAATGCAGCTCTCAATCTGTAACATTTACTGCAACAGGTTCTTTACTGAAGCTCTTTCTCTGAAGAAGTTCAACAAAATCTGTAACTCAGTCCCTTATATGTGTTTGTAACCCTATCCTTCAGAAGTTGAGCAAAGTACATGCACTGTTACATAGCTGTCTCAAACCTAGCATAAAGAATCATATAAATCACAAAACCATGGATTAGTCTTAACTACTCTCAGAATTCCTCTTCCCTCAGAGCAGATACTACAAATTTTGGAAAGACTTTTAAATGAATGACATCTCATGTCTAGTGGGGGGAAAAAAACGAAATATAATTTTTTGTTCCTAAAACGTCATTCAGGAGAGATAACGCAGCAGTAAAGACAAGGAAAAGGACATGAAAAAGCTGGTCCAGCAGATTTTATACAATTTAATACATTGTTCCAACCCCCCTGCCACGGGCAGGGACACCTCCCACTATCCCAGGTTGCTCCGAGCCCCGTCCTGAACACTTCCAGGGATGAGACAGCCACAAATTCTCTTGGCAACCTGTGCCAGGGCCTTCCCACCTTCACGGGGAAAAACTTTTTCCTAATTTCATACCCATAATATATAATTTCCCTAATATAATATATATTAGAATATGTATTATGATATATGAAAAATATACATTTATTAATATATCTATCCAGTAAAAACTAAACAAACGGCTCTTCTATCACCAAAAGGCTGGTAACTATCAATTGTTTGAAGAAGTGTTGCATTTTTGGGGGGCTGCGGGGAGCGCGACAGCTCCCTCTGGCGGAGCAGAAACCCGCCCGCCGGAGTGTTCTCGAGGCTGGTTTGTTTCGAAAAAGCTCGTTCGAAACAAAACACGCGTGTTTCAGATAAACAAAAGGAGCTCCGAGGGAAGGGAAGGGGAGGGGACAGAGCGGGGACCCCTCCCTTTCGGTGAGCCCCCCGGCCGGCATGGCGGCCGCGCCGTTGCCATGGCGACGGCTGCGCTGAGGGCCCGGCCCCGCACACATTCCATCCGGGAATGCTCTGTGTGCAAATCACACAGCCAGCCCGGCCGGGAAACACCTCCGAGATCAGCCGCTCCAGCCCACGAGCGACTGAGAGCCACGGCCGCTCCTCTTCCCTTACGCACCTCCAGGGACGGTGACTGGGGCGGCTCCCCGCGCATCCCACTCCATCACCTAATCACCCTCTCCGCGAAGAAATTCTTCCCCATGTCCAACCTGAACACCCTCTGGGCACAGCTTTAGGCTGTGTCCTCTCAGCTGTGCCTCAGGGGTGTCCCGCAGCTTTAGGCTGTGGTTACCTGTGAGCAGCGCCGGACGCTCACCTGGCCACACCCTCCTCTCAGGTACTTTAGAGAGTGATGAGGTCCCACCTGAGCCTCCTTTTCTCCAGGGGAAACACCCCCAGCTCCCTCAGCCGCCCCTCATCACACCTGTGCTCCACACCCTTCCCCAGCCTCGTCACCCTTCTCTGAACTGGAGATGTTTAAATATCAAATATATATGTTTCTATATGAAAGCAAGTGTGTTTAAGTCGGAGCAAAGACAACCCCGGTGCCAAAAACTGTCAGGCAAGACCCATTTCACACTTCAAAAGAAATCCCCGCGGTTCCCACCCGAGCCCCTGACTCACGCCAAACAGATCCATGCACGCAGCATCACATGGAAATCAAGCTGTCCCCTCCTCTCCTCGCTGTCTGGGACACATTACTTACCTCTGGATTCAATAGGCTGAATCAGAACCCACCACATCGACAGAAAATTACTGGGTTTGGCTAGGTTAGTTATTCTGGCAGTCTAACGAGTGGGGCCAGGTGACTGAAGAAATCAGTGACAGGAATATAATAAAAATATGATTTAAACTAATTTTTTCAATCCAATTTAAATGTCTTTAAACTGAATTTACTACACTAAGATTACTCAGTTTCTGTCATCTAATCACACAGCTAATACTTCCTCTGTAAAACCGTTGAAGATTCTTACAAGGCTGCTCCATTTACATTGTAAAGTTAAACAACTTTTTTCACTCGTGCTTTTACATGTCGGATATTGTCGTTATAAATTGTAGGATATTGCAGAAAAAGTTTCAATTACCAAGAGATCATGAGTTTAAGTGTTAGCCTCTCTTGCATGGAGAGCTAATGAACTTTAAATTCATGAAGCAAAGCCCTCTTTATAGATCATACTCTTGTTCTTCCTCTCCCTCTCTCACTTAAAAAAAAAAAAAAAAGAAAAAAAAAAAGATCTTCAATACACAAGGAAAAATACTGACAGTTGTTACAGCCCTTTGGCAAACCAGAAAATTTGGCAATCCTAGAAGTTAAAATGTGGATGGAGGCAATGGAGGAAAAGGGAAGATTACTTAGGATTGTTATGAGGTTTTTCTTATCTGCTTCTGGAGGGATTACAGAAATTGGAATGCATTTTCTGTGTCCACTCGAGAGAGAAAAAACAGCAGCTCTAAGTCTCCTTCTAATAGAATTCAGAACCTAAACTTGTGAGTGGAACACAGAAAACAAGACTGGACAGGCAGCCTGTAGAGTATTTCCAGCTAGGAAAGCACCACAGAAGTATTTTTAAACCAAGATTTGGACAGTGCTATGTCTAGGAGCATATCTTACAGCTTGTCACTTACTTCTCTGAATTATTCTAAGGAACTGATCTCACCCAAAGAGCAGACCACATGTGCTTTGTAAACAAACAAACATCCCCGGTAAACAAAGCAGAGGGTTTAAGCTTGCTTTTAGTGCAGGGCATCTCCAAACAATTCCGTGGTAAATATTTGGACTGTCCTTTGCCAAACAAATAATTAGGGTACCACTTTATGATGAAGTGTTGGGTGCTTGTTAACCAGGTCCTTATTAAGTTGGTGGTTTTGCTTTTCCCTTGAGGTGTCCCACCTGTGTTGACTGTCACCTGTGACACGAATCTTTCACTGGCTTTTGCCATTCTCCTTTTTTCATTTCTAGACAGGTACCAAATATATTTTTCTCTTTATTTTTGTCTCTTACTCTGTTCTATATATTAATTTACTTTAATTCCCCGTTTACAAACCATGTAGACCTCACAATGAATTTAATTTAGTCAGCTAAAAATGAAGTTGCCACAGAAAGACACTGCAATAAGCAAAAATAGCCCTGTAAAATAAGGAAGTTTGATCTGCTTGTGAAGGACACAGGCATAACCCATCAGTCACGGGTATAGTTATGTTTTAGAAGTTAATTTTGCTGCAGGCATAGCAGTATTTCAAGTGTGAGGGCTGGAAACAATCTCACTGTTCGTGAGACGAGTCCCAGCTGAAGACTTCAAGCAGCCATTCTTTGTTCCAGGCTTTGCACAAGTCTGAATAAGAGATTTCACTTAAGATGGTTAATTGTATTTGCCCCACCAAAAAAAAGAGCCAGGAAACACATCCACTGAATTGTTCTCAGCTGCTCTTTTCATAACTTACAAGAGCGTTCATTGTTTCCATCTTGAGTTCAATTTACCTCAATTATTTGCCACGTTACAGAAGAAAAATAAGAAATGGAGGGCTCTTCCACAACTTTCAGAATCATCAGCCCAAGGAAGAATATTTAAAAGCTTTAACTCAGAAAATAATTCCAATGATGCTGTGTCTTCAGGAGAAACAAGATGCTTTGCCTTTTCCCACACTGTCCATTATGACAAATGTGAAATGTTCTTTTAACAGTTTTTTACTTCAATAAAATCTGAAGAAAGGGTAATAAAAAGAGTCTGAATAAGAGCAGACAGTAATCAAAAACACTAATAAAGCAACAATTCACCTGAACACAGTTAAAATTAAATGTTCCTGGGAACTAATTCTCCTCATGTGAAGCATAGAAAAGAAAAAAGCTTGAGAAAAAATAGTGTTAGATACAATTAAGAATAGGATGTTACATGCTGAAGTTTAGTTTAAGCTTTTCTATATCACAACACTGTCTTGTTCCTCACCCTGGATTTAAGGACTTTGACCTTATCTGAATTGATGCCTCTGACTTGTGCACTGTGCAGACATACAGAAATAATCTTTTACTTGTTGTTAAAGTCTCCAAGTGACAGAAAGTCTCTAAATGAAAGAATGGAGAAGACAGAGATTAGACATAAGAACAAAACCTGAGCTAATATTCTTCTCTGGGTACCCCTTTCCAATTGCAACAAAATCAATTTGCATGAGGAATGATCTCAGCTGCGCTAATCAGGACTCAAGAATCAGATTCAGTGGTGGATATGGAAGTCTTTTTCACAAGAAATGGAATAGAAAACGTGACTGCATTAGAAGTGGTAACCTTAAGGATAACACTCTTTGGTCATAGCAATTATGGTGATGAGAGAAATACACATTTTTTTTTATTGATATTTAGAAAAAAATACATCTTGAGAGACATATGTTCCTAAACAACACATGACTTTAAAGATATTCAAATCAAAGTCATGGCACAGATAACTTTTCAAAACTTTTATTGTATTGCATAAGGTATAACATTTTACAAATCTTAGTTACATTTTCAGCAACAGATACACTGATACTGAATTAAATACAGAGATGAAAAGACACCTCTGACAAAATATAAAAAGGTAGAAATACTGAAAACCAGGATGCCGAATATCAAGAATGTTTTACATAAACAATATCCATACTAGAGGGGTTCTGAAAATGATTGCCAAGGTAATGAAGTGTTTGTTGAACACAAGGCTCCAAAAATGCAAGGCGGTGAGCACGGTCAGTGCCATCAATTCACCTGCCTTGCACCCTCCAGAGCCAGGCTTTGTATGAGCTCCATGCTCTAAATGAGCACTAAAAACTGCCTTTCTACACAATACCATGTAAAAATATCACTGTTCTAACACGGGCTGAAGTGCAACAAGTGCTTCGAAAGGAACTAAATCGGTTAACTAGGAAATAAAGTACCAGGACATTCTGGAGAGAAGGGATATAGGAATGCTCAGTAAGCCTTGAACTGACTGAAAAACATTTTCATTTGGTAAAACAGTTTTCAGGCTTAGAGTGCTAACAAGGAAAATAATGACACAGTTTTCCCCTGCCAGTCTTAAAAAAAAAATAAAAATCCCCCCCAAAAGTAAAGGTTTTTTTGTTTTGTAATCAGAACACAATGAATACTGCTCTTAAAAGAAAATGAAACTCAGATTCAAACCAGTAAGCCCCCCCCTTCATATAAATTCTTTCACACAAATGTAGCTGCCTACTGTTAGAAGTGTGGCACAAATTAGTACCAACTACTACAAAAGAATGCTCCTTTTAACTCTGTAGGCATAGCACTGTGTTTTGTATAATTCTACTGCCTTAAAAAAAAATACTTTAAAACCAGAAGCTTAGGTTCTATAAACAACCCAGGTTAGGCCCCAAATTGAGATAAAAATTGGTTCTAGAAAATAAGACTCAAGTACCCATCTCCATACACTTTGTGCTGCTACTGGCAAGGAAGGTTAGCAGCTGGAAAAAACAACAAAAAAAGGATTTTTATAATTATAATAGTTTTTATATATAAACATATATTAATTTCATTTTTTTGAAGTTAAAATCCCAGTCAGTTTCATACCTGTAAGTCCAGTGACTTCAAAACGCTTGCTCTTGACGTATGAAGTTAAATCAAATCCTGCCTGTGCATTTTTAAAAGATATTACTGTATTTTAAAAGAACTACTGTTCAGATTGCTAAAGATATATTTTTTTTTTAATTTTTTTTCAAACATAAGATACAAAAACTAGGGCTTACAACAATTACCATCATCATCATCGTCAACATGCAGGAGTCGGTATTCCAACATAAAAAACACTAGATCTGCCTTTTAAAATATTATAAAAGCTACATAATTGTATGAATTGAAGGTGGTTTTTTTTGGCTAACAGAAAAAAAAACAACATAATGTGCTTTTCAGATAGTCAGGTGTCCCACTGATAAAATAAGTCTGATGAACGAGAAAGGCACTTCAGCAGGCTAATTAATCTTCGGATTTTCCTAATATGCAGTCCTGGACAACAGATTTAGTGTGCTGGCTCTGCACCTGCACAGTGCTGGAGCAGCAGTGTGGTGACCCTGGGCCACTTCTTAACCACCACCAAGAGTTCAGGCTGGTGCCCCTTCCCTTCATCCTCTTTGGTACAAATCACTGCACGAAACAAAGCAGACAACTCAACGCTCCTACATCCTGAATTATTGTTGGTGCATCATCTCCAGCTCCCTGTTGGTTAATAATGACCCCAATCACCACGTGAGCTTTGCTGTCAGCTTTGTAACTTTTCTATTTAGTACTATATCTTTCTGGTAAGAGACCCCTCAACATCACGTACCATGACCGGGGGGAGGAACATTCCTGAAGTTTATTAACTGCCTTTCACCTTAAATTTATGGCCACATTTGGTCCTGAGTGTTCTGCATTTCCCTGACACCTTGCACTTAAAGCTGCATTCACCTGCTATGTGGCTCTTCCTGTGCAAGAGCTGAGCAGCTCAGGAAGCGCCTTGGGAAGAACTGAGACATAATTCATGCCAACATTTGTGTTCTTCATTTGAACACTCTGTTCGTGGTGCCACATGAGCCAACAGAAGAAAAAGAAAAATTAGAAAGTAATTTCAGTGATTCCTAGAAGTTCGTATGTCGAAATCACATACAGATATATAGAAAAGCATTAGCTTGGTCACAAATACAAATTTCTTTGTAATATTCTGTCTTTTCCACGTTGCACATGCACTGTCTGGTTATCTGTGGAATTAAAAATTTCAGAGCTCAGCGTACTCAAACTCCTTTTTTTAACAATCTAAACCCCAATAGAATTCTAGTCAAGGGTTTTTCCAGTGCATAAATTCCAGCATGCAGCTGGAACGTGAAGACTCAAAGACTACATTCTGCAAATACTGAATGTAAATCTTAATTGTAAGAATTTTAGAGTTGGATTTCCCACCTTTTTTCTTTGATGACCAGATATCTTGGTGCAGAGCAAGAGCAATGGAGTGCCCAACTTCCTTCCTTTGAACTCGTAAATCAAGACTTTTACAGGAGTCTGTATTTATTAATGATACAAGTGAGTTTGAGGAATTAGGTCTTTCTGGTGGATACAATGAAAAATGCATTGAAAAAACCCTGAAATTTCAAGTGGAGACATATGAATTTAATATTAACTCCTCAAAACTCTTAGTTTTTCAAGGATTTTCTGTTATGCACAGTGGAATATATAATAGTCCCTTTTTGGAAAGGGAGCCACCAGGACTGATGCAAACAGGGCAATATTGAACCTCCAAAGCCACAGCAGCTTTCAGAAGAAATGTGCATACAGAAATTGATTCCTACTAATGTAGATAACAAAGCAAAGGATGAAAAATATCAGTATCTGGGGCTAGAGAGTCATACACAAAATCCAATGAAACCACATATTAAAAAAAAAAAAAAAGGTATTGTGAAAATGTATTTGGCGTAGGACAATTGAATTCCAGTTACCTAAAGGAGAGAACCAAAGGCATGCTAATGTGACAAGCCATCTTCACCTCTGAAGTAGATGAATTGTATAATTAAATCATCTTCTTTAGGCCAATCTGATCACACCTAACTCAAATTTATTTCACATTTTCATGCTTGGAACTCAACAGGAGCGTTTCTTTCATGGAGCAACTACACACCAGAAGCTGGACTGATGCACTGCTAGTACCATCCTGGCTACCTTCCATATTTTCCTAGAAACAACACCAGATCACTGGACAATCCCAACATAACAGACATATTTCACATGGACATTTCCTGAGTAAATAATCCCAGAAGCCCAGCTGCATAGGATACTCCCTAACTCTTGAGTGGACTACAGGGCAGACAACCAAGCACATCTCACCTCATAATTCGCATAAAGGCATGGTGTGTTTGGGTCTTGGTGCAGAACTTTAACCAAGCCATAAGGGGAGTACTTATAAAGCTTTTCTAGGATGATTTATAATCAAACTGCCAAAGCCAAAATGCTGGAACTTATTTCATCAGGGCAACAGCTTCAAAGCCACAGAAATACATCCTGCATGCTACGTGAAGCACATTAAGGGATGCATCTACTTTTCTGTTAGCCAAAGTTGAAATGGTCGCTTTGACAAGATGAACATTAAAAATAAAAGAATATTCTGATGGCCTTTCCTTCCTCTATACATCTCTTAGTTACAATTCATGCATTCATGACTTTTGGTAAATTTAACTCTAAGATGAGTCATAAGTAGTATTTATATTGCATTATAGACCAAATTTTGCGATCTGCTCTCATGCTCATAACCCTCCCCCCCCCCAACTTTTAAAGCCTGTTTGTCTCCTCTGCAAACCTAGACAAAAGCAGCTCAGGCTGGCAAAATGTAGGCACATAAACCTTCAGTGATCTTCCATTGATTTGAACATAAAATAAGAAGCGATGCTGGCAAACTTTCCTGACAAAGGCATGGTTTGTCTAAACTTGTGCACTTTTTCATCATGGACCAAACTCCCACTTGTAAATAAGCAAGGGGTTCAAGACTGTGTTGTGGGGCACAGCTGGCCCAACAGCATGCAGATGTGAACTGAGAAGGGAGCCAAAACAAGACCCTGGGATCGGCAGCGGCTGCAGCTCCAAACGCCACCAGAGCCAGTCCTTTTGTGCTGGGCGTGGACACCTCCCAGCACATTTCAGTCTTCAGCCTCCACAGCTCGCGGGCAACTTCAACAAAGAAGTAACAACAGAGCCCTAGAAAAGTTCACATATAAAACACTGTACAGATGGTCACACGGATTAGGAGCAAGGCTGAGGAACGGCTTTAACTGGGCTACCAACGCATTAGCAACAGGTACAAAAAGGTTAAAGCATGTGCCTACGTCTCTCACCGCGCATTCCCAGAGGTGCACCCAAGAAGGACAGGCTAATTAAAATGTGGGCCTGCTCCACCCTGCCAGTAAAATTAGGAGAGGCAAAAATTTAACAGTAGCATTTCCCTGTTTTCAATTCACATTGAATATCAATTGCCCACTCAATCTGGACGTTACAAAAATGAAACTTTTCTTGGTACTAGAAAACAACATTTTCCTTGTAAACCCAACACTGCAGAATTACAGAAGCAGCCAAGAGGTCAACAACTAGCAGGGAGAGCAACACCACAAAGCACGTTGTGTTTTAATTTATAGGAATAAGCGGCCTCTCCTCTCTTTTCTTCCAGATATTGGTTTTGCTATCTCTTTTTGTGAGAGGTGGTCTATCCCTTTTTTTAGCAGAAAGGATACCAGATTCCTGGCTTCCTGACACAGATTTTTTTCTTAGACCTTCCTCATCGTGCTGTTCTACGACTGGCCCATTCCCTCCTTCCATAATGTGCCTCACAGCCTGGTCCTCCGGAGTGCAGACAGTGGTCCCGCTTTCACTGCTGCTCAGATCCAGATCTTCCAAGTACAGAATCTTGGAATGTGGCATGCTTTTAATGAAAGTTTTCTCTCTCTCCAGTTTCCTGCTAGGATGATGCTCATTCATGTCCACACCAGAGTCCAGACTGGTGTCGTTGCTCTCTGTTTTCCTGCCTTTTTTCAGATCTATGAAAGAATGCCTCACTTGAGCGATGGGCTTCCCGTCCAAGGACACAAACCAGGCCCGAGGGTGCGGAGATGGCTTTCCTTTGGAGAGCTCCAGTAACGTTTGCTCCGAAATGCCTTGGAGTTCAGACGAAAACGGAGTCATTACAACCGCCTCGTTCAGCGTGCCGGGAACAGAGACAGACTCCAGCAGGCTGTTGGTGTAGCGGCCCCAGCTGGAGGTTTGGGAAGGCAGGCCCTCCTCGCCGTCCAGGGCGCTGTTCTCATCCCTGCAGGCAGAGGGCTGGGGGTGGGAGTGCACGGGCATTTTCGGCAGTGTCTGCATGTAACCCTCCCGGTCCATGGGCTCCACCATGGGGCCGTACACCAACGGCCCCTTCCTCGGCAACGTTGCTGATTTAGCAGGATGCAGTTGTTCTGGGGAGTGGAAAAGGTCAGGGGTCTGGAGGATAGCAATAGGTTGATTGTAAATGTGCATGAGATGTTCTGGGATGTGGGAAAGCCCGTACATCTCCTCTTTCACGGAAAGGTATCTGTTTTGGTCTGGGACGTCCCTGGGAGCCTGGCAAATAGCACTGTTACTGAGTTTCTGCTGCTGTAGATGCCTCACTCCAGCATTGGGCTCCAGTGAATGGGCTGAACTTCTTGTCTGACCAGTCTGACAGGACGACTGGTAAGCAGCATCCTCGGTGTAGATTTTAAAGTTGTCCCGTGATTTTCCGTCTTCTGTGTCCACGGACGCCCTTCTGGGAGGGCTGTACGAGGAGATCTTCGGTGTGTACAGCTGGGAGCTATCCTCCAGCTTCAGAGAGCCTTTGACAGCACTGATGTGATTCATGTGAGTTGTTGATGTTGTCTGGTCTCTTTTGATGACCTCCAGCCTAGTTGTATTTTTTTCCTTCTTTCGTGTCCGATGACATTTATCCCTATGCAAAAGAGATGCAAAGTGACTGCAGGGCATAGCAGGAAACACTAGACTGTTGACTAACAAAGCTGAAGACTGGATTTTGGTTAAGAAGTTACATTGCAACATGACATCACAAACTTAAAATGAAGTTCTGTAATAACAGGAATTTTTGAAGAAATATTAGGCTACACATTAATGCTAAGGAAACGAGTCTCAGCTTCAAAAGACTACTTTATTAACCCCAAATTCCCCTTCTGATGAGCTCACGAGAGCTTCTCCTTTTGCTTACCTGCAGTAACAGAGCAGAACAGCAAAAAATCCGATGATAATGACGACAGTGCCTCCCAGTATGGCCGTAAGGAACACCGTGTGATACGCTGTTATGTCCTTGGACACTGCACTAATAATGGATTCTAGATTGTCAACCAAAACCAAAAAAGAATTAGTTCTCCAAAACAAGTAATTCCACTCGATGGGCAGAGCTGTAGCTAATAAACTGAACTGCACTTTTCCAGTGATTTTGAGTTCCATTGCCACTAGGCTCATCCTTCCCTTTTCACCTTGCTACTTCAGCAAACTAGAAAAGATACAGAGGTTACAACACAATGCATCTTCAAAGGTTCATCTCAAGCACTAAAGCCTTACTGTGACATCTACTTGACTCCAGCCAAATGACATTTGTATTAATTGTCCAAACTAGCTCAGAAAAAACGGTCTGCATTTCCTACTCAGCGCTCTGCCAGAGTGCTGCTTTTAAAATCAGACACGCTATTGCTGTGATAGATCCCTTCATGCCAATGTGCAAAACATGCCACAAGACTACATAAGATGGCACTGTTTTACCCAAGACTCGTTTTCTTGCTGTATTTCAATCCATGAGCAAGGGCTGCAAGTCCTGCTAAATGTTTAGATTTCCCCAGGGCACAGTGCCCTGGCTGGCAGTTGTCGCAGTACCTCTGGTTCCAGGCAGTGGAGCCGCTATCCAGTAGCCCAGGTGCTGAGCTGTGTATGTCCAGAGCAGCTGCCCATCTGCTTCCTTCACCATTCCCAGCCCACGGTTCACCCAAGCGCCTGCAACGACACGGACAAAAACACTGCACAGGCCACGCAGAATCCCTCTGTCCCTCAGACCATCGGCCACGGAGCTGTTACCAAAAATACACAAAGGTCACAAGGAAAGTTGAACCTTCTGGCCTAGACACTGTTTATTAAACAGCCTTAGCTAAACGTGCAAACTTTCTCTGCTCACAGTTTCATTGCGAATATCCCTCTGTGGCCGTTCACTTTGAAACAAAGCATCAGCATTACTTAAGCTTAATATAATTCACTTTCTATCAATAAACTCCTTTCATAGATATGCACACAGATAATTTGAAAAATGAGCTTAAGCACGTGTGAAGGCCAAGACTAAAAAATGAAGGAGCAGGTAACTGAAGCAAATGAACACAAGTTTAACACTGGCTAGCAGAACTTAGTGGGAAACCATTTTAATCTGATAAAATACAATAGCATAAACAATGTTTGTCTTGAATGTTTCTCTCCCCCTCCCTGCCCCAAGGCAATAACAGCTCAGTTAGCCCAAGGAAGGGCTGTTGTTAGGACATGGATTCCACACCATCTGTTTGGACACTCAAAGGACAGGTATTATGGTATGCCAGCTTCTACAATTAATAAAGCATCCCTTAGAAGAGACAGAGTTATATTTCACTCACTTGAACACATTTACTGTCTGTGGGCCATCTGTGGAATTCTAAGGATATAAAACAACCTTGTATAAAAACAACCTTTATATTTCCAACATGCAAATACTGAGAGGGAACCACCAGCTTTTTTAAAAGAACAATAACCCCAGCATCAAAACTATAAGCTGGAGCTTATATGAATTGCAACTCATTTTTCTTCCAGGACCCTTCTTTCAGCAAAAGACCAGCTGGAAAAGTCTTCCATCCTTAACTGTCTTATGGAGAGACTGATCCTCAAATTCCTGTCTGCTCTGGGGCAAGTGGACACTGCACTGCACAGCTATTGTTTTACAAATACAGAGAGTGGGCTACTTACAGGCAGGTAAAAACCAGCATAAAACACCACATACAGAAGGCAAAACAATTTCCTAGGTCTCCAGAAGTTCCATCTTGACTGAACAAATCTGTAAGTAGTTATACAATCTTTGCTGTTCTCTTCAGTAAATTACATCTCCCCCCAGTACACTCCATAGAAAATACTAGGTATTAAGGAAAATGTGGAAATGGACTTAGGAGTAAGCTCATTTTCTTTTGATTTACTGCCATTCAAACAGGAGGATTTAAATCTCAGTTTAATGCTCAGTTTAAAGTACAAGCTTTCTGGTTTTGTGTGATTTTATTAAAATCCACTAAGTACTTTTAGCACTAATGCAGCAAAATATTTAGAAAGAAAGGAGCCACATTCAATACCCACCAATAAATTCTGCATTCAGGGCAGCTGGAATACAATTACCAAAGCCCATTTTCCAGGAACAGTCTCAGTACTACCCCACTTGGAGCAACCCCAGGGAACGCTGCACAAGCAGTGAAAGCAGCTTCCATATAATTCATTGTTGCCTTAGCTTTGTTTACAAAGTTAAAACAACTCTGCATGGGTACAGAGGAGCCCAGGAGCTGGCAAAAGTGGCTGTGGCAGTAAGAAATTAAAACCCCTTGTGCTATTTTACCACAATAGCCTAAAACCCTTTCTCTGATGAAAGATGCCATCTCTTGCCATCAGTTGCCCCTCTGAAGCCTCCCAAGTGTTTAGACAGAGTTAACCTTCTATGTCAAAACTTATCCTATTTACTCTTTTCCCATAAGACAGCCCAGACAATTTTTTATTAGCATGTTCTGAATTCAAATTCAACTAAAGAACTAAAGGTTAATTGTTCTTCATTAGGATGATCCATTTCTTTCTTGAACACGTAAACAACACTTCGTTAGGGTTGGTGTCCTCTCCTGTCCTTCCAACAGCTGAACAAAAGCTTTTTGCCTTGTTCAGGAGCAGACACACCTCTTCACTCACCTGCATTTTTCAAGCCCAAAGTGTGATGGCAAGTTTAGGGTGCAGTGTCATCAGGACACTGATGCACACACACCTAACACAGGACATCCAAATGGGTTCAGTGTGCGCAGCTCATTACTCACCCTTGACTAAAATTAGACACGAAGGGACGACAAAAGGTTTAGAATGACTAATCCCCAGCCCCCTCTTTGCATGCACACTGCAAGGACTACGTTGTTCCCTCCGATAACTCTGGTTTCCCCTTCATTTCACTTTCTCAATTGCTTTTGTTAACTGAGGCAACATCTAGTCCAGTTCTAACGTCAAAGGAGCTTTGGAGCTACGCTCTAGGAAACAGCACCCAAACCTTCAGCTCTGACTTGTTTGCTTTTAAGAAGGCACTCACAGAATGACCAGGCTTAAAATTTAACATCACCTAAAATGTATGCTCCGTGAATACTTAAGACTCCCGTGCAAATAAATTCCAGAATATTAAAAACTGGGGCAACAGGAAGGCTAATGAATTTCCCCAAAGTTTTTTGAACTCGTGAAATACTTCTCATTGAACAATTCAAGCTAGTCCTTTAAAAAAACCAAAAAAACCCCAAAAAATGAACCCCTAATAAAACTTGTTGACCATCACTTCCTATATTAGTGCCACGTGCTAGAAGGCAGAATAACCAATAACTCAGCCCACTTACCAGTTTTCATATCAAATGTCCATGCAGGCACAGCATCTCCTGGTTTTACAGCAGTTGTGGGGAGAGGAAGTGTTATCTGAATGGGACCGTTGACTTTCAGTTCTTTCCCAGTCAAAAGAACATTTACACATATGGCAGCAAGAGGAGTTAATTCCATGCTTTTAAAACCTGAAGGTGAGAAATAGCTTGTCTGTAATTCTCCATTTACAGCTTATTTTTTTAAAAAAATTTAGAATTAAGAATCTATGCTCATTGTAACTAAACTCAAGTCCTCCTCCACATCCAGCTATGCAGTCAGCTGTCACCAACTGGGTCAAATAAACAAAATAAACAACACCTTTCCTTTTCTTTTGGACTTCTACAATCTTATGATTAAAATAAAACCCAGTCATTTCCAACCCAGTGCTGTAAGAGAAACAGATTTGTGACCTTGAGGCTCAATGCTGACTGTAGAAATAACTATGAGGCAAAACACGGTTTGGGAGCGGGCACAAAAAGGGTTTTTCCCCTCAGATAATCAGATTACAAACTAGTTACCTTATGTGGAATATAGGTAAGACAGGAATTTTTGTACAGTTGCAATGTACATAACATTGAATCAAACTGAAGACGTGCAAACTTTCCTGCAAGGATTAACTTTCCGGAGTGGCAGCTACAATTAGCTCAGTGGTTAATCACGAGGCTCGTCAAAGCACTCAAAAGGAAATGTTTCATAGACAAAGCTTTACAAACGCAGTCTGAGGGTTTGTTTTCCTTTCTCCAGTTTGCAAACACTTCAGAATGCACAACATGACAAGAAAGAAAGAAAGAAAGAAGCTGAAAGAGAATTAGTAAGTAGCAGAATAATGTTAAATCCATGCAAGCTGCTCCAAGCTGGTTGTGAGAGAACCCCTGGCACATCAGATATCAATTAGCTCCCACCTGCCCCGAAAGGAAACCAATTCTTTTAGGAGTATATGAATAATTTACAACACATGCCAGACAGATTGAAAGGAAAACTCAAAGAGGAGAAACACTGCTTATTCTCTTAGGCTCCTTCCCTTCTGCTGTCCGTTTTGAGGGGTAAAATATAGATGAGAGATTTTAAAATATGTAAGTCAAAATATCAGTACATATGATGAATTTAATTCAATTAATATTAAAGAAGAGAGCATGCCAAGTTCAAATAAGCCATGTAGGGGCCTTCTCATGCACTGCAATGAATTTAAGAGCTTCATTGCTTCAGATCCACTGGGAATAGATAGAAAAGAACAAAAGAAAGATGGAACTGCACACAGTACAGCCTAACAGAGATTACTGTGTTTATGCAAATGAGAAAACTATCTGATAGAATGACAAATGCTAAAAAAATCCAGCGGTATAGCAGTGTCATGACCCATGAAACCACTTACTGCTTCTCCAGTGAAACAGATGCACAGAAAACATTATTACAATTGTGCTCTGTACACACAGTGACCACTTGGTCCCACACAGGCTTGCACAGACTGACTGTGAGCCAAGCAAGAGATTCCACACAGTCCTTGTGCTGGGTGTAAATAAAGCTCCTAGAACCAACCACTCCAGTGAAAAGGCAGAAAACCCCAACTGCTGCAGTTTCACTGACTGACTGATTGATTTACAGTCATCTGCTTTACACTGGCCATAGTCTGATTTTTAAGGTGTTTAAGCCAATTCCACAGCCTCAGGAAATCCTGAAGATCTGTGCTGAAAGCAGACTCTGAGGGAGTCTTTCAGTGCAGCAAGACATGTTATGTTCTGTACCACATGAAACAAAATAAAAGAGTGATATTGCTTACTCACCTGATGTGTCCATAGCTCACTCCTAAGGAACAAAGCTTTGTGACACAGTACAATGGAAGCAGGCTCAGGCCCTTTTAAATTCAGCAGATGTTTTTCTGGAACGCTGTACACTGATATGAATTGCAATTTGAAGACTTGTTTCTTTAAATAAAATTCTCAAACGACACGTTTACATACCTGATTTATTTATGAGAATTCCTGTTGTATAGAGAAAGCTGTCCACTTTCAAAAATTGCTCTGGCACTGTCAGATAGGCTGTAACATTTGTAATGTGGTGGTTTGTGGGAAGCTTTATTAAAAATTTTGGAAATTGAACACTTGGCTGAGATTTGGCATCTGTAAAAGAGAAATATTTCATCTTAGCCACGGTAAAACACACCAACAGTGTTTTTATTGCCCTTCAGAAATCCATTTAGCAGAACAACCTGTTTTCACCCATTTTCTCCATGATTTGTGCACTTCTAGTCTGGCACTTGTCACAGCCTCACAGAGAAATCCATAATTAACTGAAAATCTGGCTCACAGGAGACAGGTATTACAGGGGAATATGAACATGCCTGATTTTTGTCAGTGTGTGTACAGATGGTTATCACAAAGTGTTTAATTATTAGCCTGCATACACTCAACTTACCAGACAGTTTCCCAGTAATTAAGACAGTATCTTCAAACAGCCATATATTAGCTTGATTTTGGGGGAACAATGAGAGTGTCACGGACGAGTATACTGTGGAAAATGATAATATCTGTTACAGTGTGCAACCAAATAAAAAAAAATCCTCTAAGATCTATGATTCTGAAGGAACATTGAACAGAGCAATTAAAAAAACAAACACAAAACAAAACAGAGCATATGAAGCCTGAATAAATGAATTACTCCTGTTGTCCAGAGCAGGAATTTTAGTGTTTAGGCAGGAAGAATTCTGTTGAGTGTTTGCTGTCTCAATGCCTTCTATGGACAAACAAGTGGCTAGAATTCTTTAAAGTCTATTTCTTTAAAAACAAAATCATATGGCTTTTAAGAGTATGCAATAGTCAAAAGGAAAACTTGTGAGGGAACAGTTTTAAAAAGGGAGCTGCACCCACAGATTATACCTGTTATACAGGACACAAAGCACTGGCGCTCCAGGAATTACTCAAGTCAACAGGATTTTTGTCCAAACCAGCTGTTTGCTAAGTCCAGACAAACAATTTCCCAGAATTCACTCTGTATCACAACACAACCCGCTCAGCATTAGAAAGGGCGATTTTCTGTCTCACATTACCAAGAATTTTGACAAGTCTAACAGATCCTTCACCCTTAGCTGTGCACTGACATGCACTGTCTCCCCTGACTGCCTTCACTCCACGCTGAGCTGACAGTAACTACCCAGACAGCTTAGTGCAGAAATTTAATTACAGGCAGATAGAGTTTAATAATAGGCCTGTAAGACGCTTACGCACTTGGCATCCTGGCAGTCTTCCAAGGCAGAGGTGTCAGCAGGTAGCCATCCTTGTAGGACACAATGGTCAGGCTTAGTCCCAGTTTGTAGGGAACTCTTATTAACACCGCTCCATTGTTTCCAGTCAGGGTGGAGTTGGTCTTGGTGTAGTTGACAAACACTTCTACCACCGCTTGGCGCAGGTACTGATGGCTGATGATGTCGTTGACTTGAACTTTTAGGGTAAAAACAGATCCTGTCAACAGAAAGGAAAAACAGGAGGTCGTACTACATCACAGCTAAGGGCCTAATTTAAATTTGTGGAGAAGTCCCAGAGTTCATGTCTTTGCTACTCATCCGCTCTACAGTGGATCTCTATCTCTATATCCCCAAAATCAGGGATAACCTTGCAGTTATACACCACAGGGAAGAAGGAAGCAAAAACCCTGAAGATGGGGCACAAAGGTGCCAAAAAGTGTTTATCAACCTCAGCAAATTAACCAATTAAACAAACAAACAAAAAAAAACCACAACACCAAAAACAAAACCCCAAACCAACCACACAAAAAAATCTTCCCCTTTTTTTGTTTAGGCTTGAGCAATGTGACAGCGTGAGATTTGGTGTGCTCTGCAATGTCACACTGATAAAACAGATGGTCTTGTTACCCAAAACCTTGGCTTGGGCTGCACATTTAAAGATGCACCTGGAGTTTCTAAAAACAGGAAGCTCATGTCTACAGACAGTGGGATAACGCTTTTACATCTACACGTGTAAAATCATTCCACAGTAACAGAATGCATCTGCCTGTTTTAATCCACCTTCTCCCACCAGACTTACACTGGGCTAGTCCTCACCTTCCTATATTGCACCTTCTAACCAGTATTTGTCCACTGCTAATTAGGGGATCTGATGCTCCACACAATACCCAGTGTCCTGCAGAGATCATAATGACAGTGACTGAGCAGTACGTGGAAAACAATAAATCCACTCCAACAACAGTCTCAAGGTGCTCTGAACCACAATCCATTTCTCTCCCACCTCGATTATAAATAAACTGTTAGGGAGTCTTTTCACAGAGAGCAGGTACGTGGAAAAGGGACAGAATTCCACATTATTTCCAGGTAGGGATCAAGTTGTTATTCTTATAAATTAAAATCTCTATGGATCGCTGTTGAAAGGGATTTGAAAAAAACATCAATTTTGCAATATTTTGGTTACAGACATCCTACCATTCAATACCACTGCACTACTTTATATATTCTGATATTTTCAAATGCATTCCTTATGAATATGCATTTCTATTTAGGTCAAATGCCAAGCTAAGTTACTGAAACTTATCTGCCCCAAATCACAGTTCCATTTGGTTACGTTACCTCCACCATAATTGGGATTGACACCGCACCAAGAGATTACTGCCACTGACCTTGATTTAAATGAGAAGGCCTTGAGAAGCCGAGTGCAACCCATCAAAAAAACCAACCCAGTATGCAGGGAAGGCACCCAAGTTAGGCCCCTCTGAAATAAGGATTTCTTTAGGTCTACTGTATGCAAGGGGCACCCCATATATTAATGCAAAAAATGGCCTGCAGACAGCAAAAGCTCCACTGGCCTCAATTTACTACTATTTATCACATACACAGCAAAACCTTACCAGCTGTGCCAGATTGATTCTCTACAGTGTTACATAAAAATCCACATTTCCTTGTGCAAATTAATATATACTTTCAGGAAAAGGAAAAAGATCCCAGTGGTACCCAAACGTATTTGACAGAAAATGCACAATAATCTTTGAACAACGGACTTATTTTTTCCTTATGCATGATATTTCAAGAATAAAATTGCTTTAAATTGCTGTGCTAGAGGGGTTTCAAATCACGTAACGATTGAAAAAAAAAAAAGGAATTTATGTCATGTCAGCAAATTATGGTTTCTAAACAGCTCTTCCAGGCATCGATCCGATTCCTCACATACTTGCATCGTTCCAGTGGTTTCCAAAGCTTAAAAACAGGTCATTTGCCCTTGGCCAATGATTAGTTAAAAGGCTACTGAAGGGGGAAAACAGGCTGTGTACAATATTTTTATCCAGTAATCACTTGGACGCCAGGGGTATCTCACGAAATGGTATTTAAAAAAATAAGAAATTCAAGCTCATGCCAGTAGGAACCAACACCAGAAATGCCTGTTATAAACTAGTGTTTTAACAGCTGGGATCAAGTCAGGAGAAAAAGAGCCTGGTCATAAATCATAACAAAAGTTTTGGCTTAAGACACAGAAAAATTAAAACCTAGAATGTATTCAGAAAGTTATTTTCTCTCAATCATTTCCTACTTTTAATGTGTGTTTCCCATTGCCTGCTACCAAAACGCCTAACAGAAGGCAAACAGGGATGGGGGCAGTCGCTACAGTCCTCTTCCAGCTGTTTTGTGCACAAATATTTCTTCCTCTCATCTCCTTCAGGTGCAGCCATATAAACCCCCACTTTCCTAGAGCCTTTGGGGTGGGGGAAAAAACCACCAGACCGCAAAAGCGCCGAAAGCTGCGCTGTTTCCATCAGCGAGGGACAAACATCACCGGGTGCTTTTAGCCACGCTCCGCTGTGACTCCCTCCTTCTCCTCGGGGTGTAGGAGTGGCCGCAGGGGTTCCCAGAAGGGCTGCTGTGTCTGGAAGGGTGCTGGGAAGCCGCAGATGTGCGGCTGTAAATGCCAACTGAATTCCCCTGGGGGACATGGGGGGGTTACTGAGGAGCAGGGTCCCTACCCGGGTGTGACTGCCACTCGCTCACACGCAGTAACATTCAGACACAGATTAAAGGAGACTCAATCCCTGGCTCTGGGTGCTTTGGGCCTTATTTTTGTGCTGACACAAGAGCAAGCGTGCTGATGATGGCTGGCAGTTGTGCCCTGCGAGTAACACAGATGGGCGAATCATTTGGGTTTTCCAGGATCAAACCAGAATACGCTCTGCCGGCAAGTCGCTCGAAATTTGCGTGCGATGATTTCGGAAAGACTTTTTTTATCACAGGTTTAATGGCGCTGAGTCGTTAACAAGGTCATATTAACACTCGTGACACCCGATCTGCAAAGATCTTAATTTACAAGTCCTTAAGGGCACTTTTAAGTCTCAAATATGACAGCGACTGCCACTGGATGTTTTGAATCACAATAAAATATACCCCCAAAAACCCCATTTCAAGCTGCAGAAAACACAAAACGCAGCTTATCTGTTTAACAAAACCAAAGCTGAAAACTTCAACAATAGATGAAAATCGTGCCTTTTTTTTTTTTTTTTTTTCCTGGTGACTAACACGTGCCAACCACAAGTGGGTCAGCTGTATCTCAATTTTAAACAGATCTGACAGAACTCCCACAATTAGAAGAAAGAACTCAGTCTTCGCTAATTTGATTTGTGCTGCCTCAGAGGAAGGAGATTCCTCTCCTGGCAGGTCCACTGGAAATGCCAGCTCCTGCAGCATTTACAACCTTTGCTGAAAACATCCACACAACTGCAGCAGTTGGACTCACAAAGGGAAACAAGGCCTTCTATCACGTTTAGCTACTTCAGAAACATCCTGGCCACTGAAATGACATCTCATTTCTTTGAGCAACAACACGTAACACCTGGAATTTGGCTCCCCGTCCCTGTCCTAACTCAGAAATCACATCCCAGAATGAAGCCAAAGAACTGCTTGGAGCTGCAAGATGAGTACAGACACAACAGTGTGAAAAATCTCCATTATACCCCATGTAATTCGTTCTTAATTCTTCCTTGTAGATAAGTGTGTCATCTGGTTACCATTTACGTGAGATTTAATTAACACAGCCAAGGCCAGAGACCTTACAGGCACCAATATATCCCAAACTACATGTGCCATTAACTGTGAGACATGGCAGTGAACACACACACACACACAGGGCAATGCCTGGAACGATTCCTACACATTCTGCAACCAGTCCTAAAGTCCCTTTTCCTATTTATCTCCCAGGTCCTATAGCCTCTACCTCTTCTCAAACACCCAGACAACTACCCAACTGAGCAATTATCTTATGGATTGAACAGTAACTGCAATTAAATTATTCATCAGTTCCTTCTTTCGGAGGAGATTCCTCTCACCCTTGTCCAGAGGTGTTTAAACCCCTGCCAGAAAGGGCACCCACTTTCATGAATTTTATGGAAACTGCCTACACAGCACTGCCAGACTTCCCCACTAACCAGCCAGAGCAAATGTGGGCTGTGCAGTTTGCTTGGTCTCAGCTTACTGAGCAATCCTTTTGGCATCTTTTACATTCATACAACACCGTATTTTGGGGGCAATTGGAGGTATGAAATGTGCACTGATCTGTGAAGAAGAAATCACGTGTTGTGAGAATATCAGGTTTTACTACACATGCAGCATTGCAATGGATAGTGCCATGGGGGGGTGGAAATCAGTGGAACATATAAAACACATAAACTACACAGTCAACACACATCTGGCTTCAGCAAAAACAACAACAAAAAGAGGCCATATAAAAGCAACCCATCCTCCTGCACACAGAAACCAATTATTGCCACCTAAAATTTCCTGAAAACTACAGCGGTGCAAAAGCATACCTAGAAAAATGAAAAGCCTGTCACACCTTTACAGCTCATTACAAACCCTATACGATGCTGTGGAGCTGATTTAATGCTGGCCCCAGCCCCCCTCAACACAGCACACCCTCAGCCCGCAGTTACCTTTGTTCTTTATTAGTGCCCAAAGCACTGACACAGGGCAGATCTCCCTGCCTTGCACAGTGCATTAACATGCCACAAGAGGTGACCCCTAAACTCCAATAACTATTTTATGGCTGTGCTGTGACAGATATTGTCAGACACCAGGGTAAGCTCTCTGACCAGTTTTCAATTATGCTTCTCGCAGCTATCAAATAACCTGCAAATCTAATTAATGACCCCACAGCCACACGCAGTCTTCCTTTGTAGAATGAAGATTTTCAATATCTCATTTAAAAACGAATGATGTGATCTCTTATAAAGATGTTCATATGCTGTTCCTCTGATTTAAAGTAATAGCATAAAATAAATGGCAGAAAAATATTCTTTCCTCTATTAAATAGAACAGGAATACTACTAAAATAAAAAAAAATACACCACAAATGTTTTGCCCTGTGAAATTTTGTCTTTACTAGTTAGTTGTAAGTGCAATCTACCTATTTTATTTTCAGCAACCTATGACTGAACTGAGAAACAAAGAACCTCACACTGTTCACAAAAGGTC